TCCTAACCTCCAGCACGGAGCCTGCGTCCGTATTGGCAACACACTTTGTTTCCGCGTTTGTAAAGAACTAGCTGACTGCGCCGAATTCGACGTGCATCACCTGTACCGAACTCGAAAGTCTGGAATGTGCCGTTGACGAAGGGTGTCAACTACTCCCCAAAGTTGACGGCATCGGGCCCACTGGGACTGATGGGCTCCACCTCCTGGTTCTCACGTCCTTAAACCCCATAATACCGCCTTCTGAGACTAACCTGTTCAATAAGTCACTGACAAAAGTTCATTGCCGATTAATTCATGATTCTCCGTGACAATTTAAGCCAGATAAACAATTACCGGTCAGTTTGGATGGTCAAGTTTGGACTACACGTTGTGTGATTGGATTGCGCGCAATCTCAATGTAATGGACTGTGATTCACTTTGAAGTGTATATTAGTCACTACGATCACTGAGACCGCACTTAAAGCAGATGGAAATTAGGTGTTGTGCAGTGTTTTCGGGTGGGCAACACCCAATTTCCACATACTGATCAGTTTGTTTGACACCAATTTTGGCCAAAGTTGCCAAGGAGATTGCGGAGATGTTGCTACAGCTGTTCCGGTCAAAAGAACTCCGGACGTCTGCACAGCACGGTTTCATCCAACGTGTTTCATGCAACACCAACCTGCTTTTGAGCATGCATGAGTGGATGCAAGCAGTGAAGCAAGGGAATTCTGTCAACTTGATCTACAACGATAGGCGGGCATTCGAAAAAGTGAAATATGAGATCCCTTTTCATAAGCTGAGATTACGCGCTGTTGCAGACTCAATGCAGCAGTGGATCCAGGATTTTCTCTTTAGACGAAAGTGGAGGACGCATTTCGACAGCCAGTTAGCTGACTCGTATCTCCCCACTAGTTGCGTACCTCAAGGCACGGTGGTCGGGCCTGTATTGTTCTCGTTTTATATCAAAGATCTACATTGGCTTCTTCGGTATGAATAAGTGGAGAGTGGAAGGTAGTTCCGACGACTGTGACCAAATTCAGTAAGACCCTAACCACAGTGGTCCGTCTTCAGACCAACCCATTCATGTCGCTATTCATGAGCCTGGGTGATGACGGCCTTGGCGGCCAACTGCTACACCAGACAACTTCCGTAAAGGACTTAGGTGTACGGTCACGTTGCGATTTGAAGTTAATGGAAACTACCAACAGGCTACACCGAAACAGACCCCGCATCCTAATAGCGTTCGAACGCAACTTCTACACCAGTTCTGAGGAGATTGCCACTCGGATCATCTCTTGCATTATAAGATCAATTCTAGAGTTCTGCACGCCCGTCTATTTTCCGGCCACTCGAGTTGAGAAGCAGAAAAGCGGATGAATTCAACGCGTCCATACCAGGCTCATTTCCAGTTAGCAAATCTTACCGTACGAATATAAGCGCCAAAGGCTGGGACCATACCCCATGACCTATCGTCAGTTACGAGTCGACTTCCTCGTTATCTACGGCATTCTGCATCTAGATTACTTCCCCATCCTGAGGGCACTGATCCAGTTGGGACTACGCTGCGGCTCACGCGGACAGCAGTACAACCTTGTGGTTCCAGATCTGAAGCGATTTCCGCATCCTCTGTTTGATGAACAACGGTTGGTCAGTGTTTGGAACAGTGTGCCGAATCACATTGTAAAAGCAAACACGGTGCAGCAGTTAAACACAATGCAGCATGTAGATTTGCTCCGTGGACGATGATTATCCACTGCCAATGATATATCACATTTGTGAGTCCTAATCTACTGTGAGTTTTACGTTAGTTTTTGCAACATCATGTGAAAATTAGCAAACCGATCAGTGAGTTGACAGGTTATAGATAGGTTTTCAGGGTTTTTGATCATATTCCGATGGGTTGTACATGTTCCAATCTCTACTTGCAGTATTCATTATTCACAGGGCAACAATATCATCCGTATAAAACAAGTGCGGTCAAAGCAAATCCTGGGATAAACTGGGGCGAAAGCTCAACTCATCCTAATGCGGAGGTCTTCCAATGCTTGCCAACTTTTACCACAAAAGGCTAGAAGACCTTGCGATATGGCTTTACTAATGAAACTTATTTGGGAATATTATTAAATGTCCAACCAGCGACACACATTCGGTTAAGTCCAAATAACAAACATGAACCTGCTAATTTAAGAGAGGTTTGGAAACAATCGGTTGGTATAGTATTTTGGTAACGTTTCGCCTTTAACATAAAGGCTTCGTCAGACCAGGTGAAACAGTGTGCAATTGGTGTGGGATTTTATAGCGAACAGGGGCGATAACCGCGTTACCCGAGTCTTGAGCCATTAGTCATTACAGGAACAGTTCGGCATGTCACCTCAGGTGGTTTAAACACAGTGGGAATAGTCCAGGTGTTCCTTTGTGTGTCATGACATTGACGGATAAGCCCATAGTGTTGACAATGGGAGTCGGTTTGCACTTTTCAGTCTGATCCACGCATCGATGCTCGTCAAACTGGCCGGCCTAAAACCGCCCGCCATGCATTAGGGAATTCTACCCCCTCAATTCTGTTCACGCAGTCATCAGATTTGGCAATTTCCACCGCCTCGGCAATCAACCGTTGGGATGTTGATCGTACGCCCATCCTAATGACCTCTACGTTTTCAAGGTCTATCTGGTGACCCGTGTCTAATGCATGCACAGCTACGGCCGAGTCTCTTACTATCGCCTGGTATTCAAACTCGTTTCTTGTTAGTCTTGCAATGCGCCTCCTATGCTCCGAAATTCGTGTGCGTAATTCTCTCGCTGTTTGGCCTATATACACATATACACAGTCTTTACATTTAATTGTATAAACACAGTTAGTCGTCCTATCCTTGGGAAGGGGGTCCTTCAGGTGTACCAGCGCCGAACGTAACGTTCGACCTCGGTGAAAGATCACCCTTATATTTTCCTTGTTTAGTACCCTCCGAATTGCCTCGGAAGTGCCTTCCTTGTACGGAATTCCGATCGTCCCTATCCACTCGGCTGTGGGTCTTGACTGCCGGTGTAGCACTTTATGCAATTGACGTTTAACTAGTCGCCGTGGGTAACCGCTTTCTAATAGTTTGCTCATTGCCACTTTCCGCGCAGTCTTTTTGTCCTCCTCCATCGTGCACAAGGTTTGTGCCCTGTAGAATAGCGTTGAGGCTATCCCAGCGTAAACCTGTTTCGGATGACCCGATGTGTAGTGGAGTACGCTGTCAGTATCCGTTGGCTTGCGATATAGTGTCGTCTTTAAATTGTCCCCATTCCTGTGAACCAGGCAGTCAAGAAATGGTATTGTACCGCTACAAGATTCCAACTCAATAGTAAATTGTATTCTCTCATCAATGGAGTTTAAGTGATCAAGCAATTCGTCCTTCTTATCCTTTTTAACAAGTGCAAAGGTGTCGTCTACATAACGCCACCAAACTTTTGATGAGTTAATGGTGCTTGTTGACGCCCTGCTCTCGAAGTCTTCCATATACAGGTTCGCCAGCACAGGGGATATTGGCGATCCCATTGCGAGACCTTGTTCCTGACTGTATAGCTTCGACTGAATAACGAAGTAAGACATGTTAAGACACACTGTCATTCCCTCAATTCTCTGGTTAACTGCTAGTTTCGTCCGATCATTCAGAGTGACGTCTTCATTTAGACAACGTCTTGCTATTCCTAGCGCCTCTTCTTTGGGTGCATTTGTGAAAAGTGATGTGACATCGAACCTGACCACCAACTCATCTGACTCAATTTTGAGAGTTGCTATCTTTTGAGCGAAGTCATAAGAGTTTCTCACGAATGTACTCGTTCGACCTGTTAGAGGCTGCAATAGCCTTGCGTGAATAGAATTGAGGGGGTAGAATTCCCTAATGCATGGCGGGCGGTTTTAGGCCGGCCAGTTTGACGAGCATCGATGCGTGGATCAGATTGAAAAGTGCAAACCGACTCCCATTTTCAACACTATGGGCTTATCCGTCAATGTCATGACACACAAAGGAACACCTGGACTATTCCCACTGTGTTTAAACCACCTGAGGTGACATGCCGAACTGTTCCTGTAATGACTAATGGCTCAAGACTCGGGTAACGCGGTTATCGCCCCTGTTCGCTATAAAATCCCACACCAATTCACACTGATTTACCTGGTCCGACGTTACCAAAATACTATACCAACCGATTGTTTCTAAACCTCTCTGAACTCATGAATACTCGATCGGTTCCAAGTATCTTTCAAGAATTTGATTACCTAGTATTTTGTTTCAAACACTAGTGTTTCATCTTTCTCTGTAGACATTTGTCGCTTTTCCATGAGGACGGAAATTGACGAAGCATATACACGTAGGGTGACGATCCACTCCCGCCATCAACGTACCCTTAGATAGATCCGGTAACATTCGGCATCTGCTTGGGGTATTTACAAGGATAGTCGCCAAATATGCCGAAAAACAACCACCTTTTGGAAAATTAACGTGACGTTGGATAATATGTTGGTGTCACTTATAGTCCAACTTAAAATTTATCCACGTAGCTCATATAAGGCGGTTTTTTAAACTTAGAATACGGAAGCCCAGCGGAAGTCAACCACTTTTACAGATTTTGTTTGCGCGTCATCTAAATGATCTGTCGTGCAAGTGATCTATCTCTACGAATTCAGGTGCCTTTTGGGAGTGTCTCAAACGGCGTTTGTGCACACCGGGTGTACATTTCACTTTAAAGGTGAGTATATGATATTTTGGATCTTGTGAAGACAATAACATTCAAATGCCTAAACGGATATCAACATTAGCTGTAGTCCACCTGAGAGCAACGCACTCCTGTGATATGCATCAAACATGGATAGCCGTGTGTATTTTGCAGCAAATGCAGAGTGCCGCACTGTCAATTAAATAACAAAGCTGGAAGCCGTCTCGGCAGCCACACTGAACATTTGGCATTTTACCCGCTATCTGCTCTACGGTTCGGCCATAAATTTAAGTCGCGTCTGACAGAGAGAAGTACATATCTGGTTTTGTAGTTACTGGATGTAATGTTGTCATCGTCTTAACAGGTGCATAGCAAAAAAAGTGTTAAGTACTGTCAAATATGTAGTTGTTACATGAACACTTGAACACAGAAATCCGATCTAATTCAACATGAATAAGCCTTGCAGGATCTACGGATCAATGGCGTCAAAATGGATACATGTGCCGGGAGATGACAAAGAAACACAAAGCATGAGCCATGAATAAAAACCAAGGAACACTCTTTCTTTCTGCAATGCCTGTCGGTATTGTTGGAGTTGTGCTTTCTGTAGATTCTGTTGGCAATGTAGAACGACAATCTGCTTGGGTGCCTGGTTCATAGGGTCTTGCTCCAACAAAATTGCCGCTAAAATACAAATGGGGTGCGCCGTTTAGACAATCCATCACTTGACTAGTCTCTCTAAGGCATCACTGTCCCACTGTGAATCGGTTGTTCTGCTGGACAGGTACTTACTTCACATACGCCATGGGATGCACACGAAGACGATAACCTACACATATATCGCATAAAGGAATTAGTGTATGTCTGAATGCAAATTCCTTATGAGGTTACACGATATCCCGAGCAGATAATATTTTGTAGGTAACTCATGATAATCATTCAGTCAACTTGAGCCTCGGAGTTTCGGACTTCATACAGGCAGACAATTGCATTTCTGAATTAACACAGCTCCTCAGATACTGTGTTCCGGCACACATTAGCGGATATGGCTAAACTCTGTTGCTTCAGACTCCCGAGAATAGGTCCCCATAATGCCTTCAGTATACGACTGCCAAGAATACTGGCTTATCCATTGAAATGACAGTAGTGTTCCTTAGAGCACCTCAGGAAATAATAGAAGCTAGCCTATTCATTACATGGATGGGATCATTATTTAATCGGTACCAGCTAGTGGGACTCCGGTGAACACAGGGACATGTGTTCAATTTTGCTGTGTTACCAATTGTCGCGGCTTGCAATAGCAGATTACACAATTTTCTCACGGTGTGTACAGAAATTAACAGGATGACACATTTCGTTTCCGGTGTGCATAAGGCTGAATGCAGTGCCCCCGGACATGGAGCTTGGCGACGCATCATCCATGCTAGACCGGCAAGTGATTCAGTGGATATCAAATGTGTGCAATCGACTTTGTGAACGTTGCGTCGTTTCATGCGTCGCGCGTGTGGAGTGTGACGACAGGGTTGCAAACACGTTCACGACTGGTCAGCTGTTTGCAGCAAACTCGGCTGCTAACCCAAACTGTCTGCGGCTAGTTAAGTGTTTCTGTAGTGTCGTTATCAGTTGGGTACCTACAGTAGCGACACGCAAATAAGGTGCGTTGAAGCCTACTTGAGTACAACAAAAAAACGCTGCCTTAACTCCACTGCTTAGTCTAACTCAGATAAACTATGTCAAGCATGAACGACATCTACCAAATCAGCTGTGTTGCAAGAACAATCCAAGCATATGGTTCCATCCCAGTGATGTCCTGAAATAAACGAATGGCAAGCGGTATTGCTGCACACATTGTTCCGAATAGTAGAGGTCGGAAGTAAATGCTAACGGATAACTGGCTATTAATCGAAGGAAAGCCGGATATGACGGTGTGAATAAAATGACTGGTGTGATGAAATGCTGTTAAAACAATTGTTGTTCATACAACAGTTTGTGGGCACACACATACATACAAACAAAGGAGAGAAAATGCGGGTGTCTTTCTTCTACAGCCAGGGCAGCCTGAGGCTAACTGATAATTGTGGATTTCCGTGATAATTGTTTTTGCACACAAAGCACTGGCTTACTCTGATTAATGGCAAAAGCCTCGGCAAGCAGGAGGAGCCGGGAATTAGTATGGCGAAGTAAGATCCTAAACGCCTTGTTGACCTCAATTCGGTGACCCGATGTCAATGAATGTCTGCCCATCAAAGTTGCCAGCGGCCTGCGCACACTTTTAGTCTGCTTTGGGCTTACCTGCTGAATAATCTCGCATTGAACCCATTTTAGTACATGCTCGTTTATTCGAGAACTCAGTGTGCTATTGGTGCTGTCCATGTAACTAGCTCCGCAATTGCATACGAATTGACCTACGCAGTGGGAGTTGACTCCCATAATTTGCGTTTCCGTTAGCGAAAACAATGGTAGCTTATGAGTTCGGTCGATGATTACAACTTCGGCAGCACAGAAAGTGCTCTGTGTGGAGGAAATCAGACGTCTTGTAGTCCCCAAAGAAGCAATGTCAGCCTCAAAGCGCAGCTCTAAGAATACCTTTTTCTTAGATACACGTAACCTCCACATAACGTTACGTGGACGATATCTTGATGTTATGTTCCACAGAAATGCAGCTCGCACAGTTAATGACACGTTTTAACTCCTCACATGTCAATTAGAGCATAACTCGCGAAGTCGAACAACTGAATTGTCTTCCATATTTAGATGTTCTCATGAGCCGCAGGGAGAACGGACTGGGAAAAAGGGCTGTCTACCGAAAAACAACGTGGTCGGGAGAGTATCTACATTTTACCAGCTTTACGCCAATGCGACACAAGCGAACGCTTGTGAAGAAAGACACCCGCTTTTTCTCTCGTTTGTTTGTTTGCTTGTGCGTGTGTACACACAAACAGTTTTAGAAAATTACCGGTTATCGTTATCGGCACTGATGAGACCATACTAAATGAATGCATCTGCCGAAATTCGTCTTCTAATCGTGCTTTTCTAGTTAGTAAGGGGAAATAACTGTTTTAAATTGGTGTTAAGCCAAACGTGCGGTAGGTAATACATAAAAAGCACTAGGGTGTGGGACATGAGTGTCCGCTGGTGATGAGTTAGTTGCATAACTTTATCGGCTCCTTTCTGTGCCAAAGTGGTTTCACTTAACCCATTCACTACACCAACTACTGACAGTTTCTGGGTTCAGGGTCCAATTTACCAGGGTGTTTTTAGTCATATTGGCTAATGCAAAGACCATGACAAGGAATCCCCATGGATGGTGTGTAGTCAGCCGTGAGTAAACTGTTGTACTCGTACGTTTACCATCCCAATATTTGTGTTTAGAAAAGACAGCTTGACGATATCCGCACATTGAGGTAGTTCGTGGTATTCTGTATTCAGAGGATTAAGTCAAAATATACACCAAATGTCAGACCAGAATGCAGTTGTGGTGTTGCAACTTCTGAAAGTTTTATCAGCACCATTCAAGCACAGGTAAGATGGCTGTTGTAAAATTTTAAAAATTCAAGTAATGGAAACAAAATACTGCATGGAGTGATTCGTGCGGAGTTTTATCACTCAAAACTGATTGCTTATATTCAGCAGTCTCAAACGGTGATCATTGGAGGATATTCGCAACTGAGATTGTAACTAAACATACGGTTCAATAAAGGATAGAATTATAACTGTCCCATAATGCTGACTGATAGTCGCATATCGGCACACTGGATGCCCTATATAAAACTGCATCACAGGGAATGCCCTTCGAACACTAGTCTAATCCTAATTTCTCACAAGTCGCAGTGGTATGGAGCAACATGAGGCACACACTTCTCACCTTGGCCCGTAATTGCACACAATGAACAGCGTGAAGCCAAAGTTCGGCTTGCCTTGGCAATTTGTTACCGAGCATCCGATGTCGGTTGTTTTGGCCCATACCATCTGCAGCAGTAAAGGAATTAATTGGCATTGTGACAAAAATTGGCATATCATATGGGTGACACATTTTGGAAACTTCAGCCAAAATCAGAGCCACATTAAATAATAACTATGAAGTGACAATATTTTGGAACCAAAGAAGAAGTATTGGCTGCTGGCAATTTTTAAGATTGGTTGCAAATGACTTGTTGATGACAGCATCGAAATTTTGCTACCTTGGGAACCTAATATCAAACGACTTGCAGATGATGATACGAGCTGCTCATCCGCGTATCGAAGGTGGTTGCCGCATTTGGCAAACTGAAATATCGTGTGTGGAGTAACTACCGGATCACGGTTGGTATCAAACGGGATGTATACCGATCTATGGCGCTGTCCGTTCTTCTATACGACAGCGAAACTTGGACGCTGTACCTAACGGACGGTGGTTATCTGGAGCGTTTTCGTCAACAGTGCATGTGCCGGATTCTAACCCTCGGCTAGGGTGACCGAACTGCTGATACGGAAGTCCTGCGCCACAGTGGTATGTATTCAGTGGACTGCACACTTCTGGTGCAGCACCTTAGGTGACTGAGGTGCATCAGCCGCATGGGTTCGACGCAGACCCCAAAGCAGCTGCTGTATGGTCAAATTAGTGTACAGGATCGACATGTCTGAAAACCGAAATCACGTTACAATGACACGATCTATAGCATTTCCTGCAAAGTTGCATAAAAGGTCCAAAATTTTGCAAAGGAAGTCCAAAATTTTGCAAAGAAAGTCCAAAACTTTGAAAATAAAGTCCAAATTTTTGCAAAACCCTGTGCGATTGGCCAGTCGCTCAGAACCAATCCTCTGACCTTAAGTGTGTTCTCATTGGCCGGATGCCAAGTTTCAATGTCTTAGACTGAGGACGTGAGCGCGCTGCCCATTGTCTGGGTGAGATTTGTGAATGAACCTTAGAGGAATGCACTTCGACGGTGCAACGGGCTTGTATGTGCACCCCTCACGTCCGAAACGATGGATCACAATTAGTCTGAGAGCAATAAACAGCTGGAAGATAAGCGCACGACCGAAACCATATCTATGATTCTAACGTCGTCGGCATGCCTTCTCACGTTCGACAGAGTATCTCATCTGACATTCGTGACCGAGTTTTGGGCGCTTTCGTCAACGGTGATGACTGGCAGCTCGTGGCAACTGTGAACAACGTCAAATATCAAACAGCCTACTCCTGGATTCGTCGTTCTCTTGATCAGGAGCCGAGTACTATGCAGGCGTGCGGTCGGAAACGGATTTTGTCGGAGGAAGACGTAGATGACATCCTGGAATGGATCGCAAGGGACTCAACTGTTACGCTAAGGGGAAATGCGAGTACGAGTACGAGCAGAAATGGATAAGGACATTTCAAAATCAACAATCGCAAGACACCTAGATGGTCGATTGATAACTATGAAGAATATCTATCAGGTTCCCGAGGGAATGAACAATGAGCGAAGCAAAGGGATACGCAGCGAATTCGTTCAGCATTTTCTTTAATTTGAGAGCGATGGCAAGTTCTTCATTTGGATTGACGAAACGAACTTCAACGATTACTGCAAACGTACTTGTGGTTGGGCGCCCAGAGGAGTGAGGGCCTGTTGCAAATTTGCCAACAGCAGAGGCCTCAATCGGCACTTGATCGGTGCACTCACAATGGAAGGGAAAGTGTCGATGACCACCCGGAGTGGCTCATTCACAGGTTCCCTATCTCTCGAATGGTTGCGAAGCTATTTAGACAACCTGAAACGGGAGATGGCGCTCCGGCAGGTTGTCATGGTATGTGATAATGCACCATGTCACACACGACTAGAAGAACTGTCGTCAGTAGATGGATCCGATGGAGTAACCATACTGAGATTAAGCCCATACTCACCGTTCCTCAATCCGAACGAAAATGTTCGGCAGGTGGTGAAGGCCAGAGTGAAGAACGAGATGAGAGTGCACTACGAGGAACTTCTGGCCGAGGATCCCCAGAAACTCATGACGCAGATGGAATGGAGGCTGCAGTTCCTTGAACGCATTGCCAAGGCAGCCACCATGGATATCAGCGTTGTGGGATGTCGTAATGCTATTCGACATATGCGTGTTCACTTTACTAATTGTTTAGAAAAAGGTGACATGTTTTGATCCCGTTGCTGGCCTATTTTTTACGTATCTGGTTGTATAGCACGTTACTGGCAGCGCGTAGGGACGTGTGAGTATTCCCAGTGTTTTCAAAATATGTTTGCACATACGTACGTTTGTATGTTCGTACGGGGGTTGAAGCGATATCTGATGTCTAGCGCAATGGAGTGACACGGGACCGGCTTTCAGTGAGCCATGCCCGAGTGGTATGTTCAACTTATGGTCCTTTTCGTGCTGGTATTCGCTGCGCTGTACTCTTTCATTATCAGCCTGAGATAATGTAGATACAGTTTCTTTGTTCGGTAAACTAGGATGTTTGGAAAGCGCTTTGTAGGACCAAGTGAGCTTGCCGGGTGAATCAACCGTCAGATGTATCACAGTATGGGATATCAGGGTGGATAGTTGAATAGTAGTGAAAAAGGAATTACTGCGCACGTCATGTCAGACGCGTTTATCACGAACTGTTAATGATTTCAGAGGTTGGGAAGCAATGCTAATGAGTTAGTGCGAATGGCGTAAGCTAATAAGCAGAGCGCTTGCTCAGGTACAAGAGAAAGCACTTTTGCATGTGCAGGAGAACCGCCAGCTACGAAAGAAACAGGCGCCCATGGAGTCTAGCCCTTCGATACCCAGTGCACAGTGCTGTAGCACATGAGACTCTGTGTGTGACACCATACCGAGCGGCCGCACTTTAACTCGTCTCTCGCTTTGCCCTCTGTGGCCACTCCAATTCTCCACACACAATACTGTGCTTGCGCTCGTTCGAACCAGTTTGACGAGCTCTACTCAGTGCTTCCCAACTCTTGGATCTAACATGTGTGGATTATCCTCTTGCTCCAGTTCTCAGTTTTCGGCATATTCTTACCGAATTCCACTTGTGTAACTATATCAGACCGGTCTTTCGAAAAAGATTTCGGTCTCATTCGGAAGAAGAAGCTGAGCGCTCTCAAACTACGCGGGAACCATCCCTGCAAGTTGCAGCATAACAAGGTTACAGCCTTTTTGTTACACTCATCAACTGAGCAGCTCTAGGGCTGTTCAGAGAGGTTTGGAAACAATCGGTTTGGTATAGTAGTATTGGTATTGGTAGATTTAGTATAGTAGATTGTTTCCAAGCCTCTCTGAACTCATGACTACTCGATCGGTTCCAAGTATCTTCCAAGAATTTGAAGCTCTAAGGACGCTTATCAGCGCTCCACCTGCATCGTCGCTCGAGGCAGGCCGATTAAAACACGCCGCCGCATTGCGTGGGTGTGTGTACCACTGCGAGTCGATTGATCGCTGAACCAGACAGTCTGCGCGTTACGACCTCCATCTGCCTCTCCGCCTGACCTTGGTGCGGTTGAAGAACTCTCCATTAGTGTGCGTGTTCCGACCTATTCGTGCGTCACCCTTAGCGCAAAGTACACTCGTCAAGGCGAGCACCTAGGTAGGCCTTGCTGTAAACAATAAGAGGACAACTAGCATTCCAATGAGTCAACTTCGCATATGTTGCGCAGGCAACTGCAGTAAAGTGCTTGAGATCAGTATTACCTGTTCTAGCTGCATTAGATCGTACTGTCCGCAATGTGCAGGCAAATCTGTCCAAGAAGTGAGACAGACAAACCAAGTTGCTGACACAATTTGGTTTTGCCCAACATGTCAAGTCATTCCTGTTGTCAACTGTTTATCATTGCTCATGAAAAGATGCGATAGGATGACTGAAATAATCGCGCAATTTGTAAATACTAAGATCGCTCCCTCGGAGGTAAATATGGCCACGATAATACCTCACCCGGTCAAAGTTAGCTCTGAGTCTAAACCGAAGAATAGAGCTAGACGCTCCAACCGCACTGCAGCGTCTGTGACTCAAACCCACTGGATCACCTCACTCCCATAAGTGGGCAAGCCTCAAACATGCCTGCTTCCACTTCTCCAACCATAGACGCTTCACTTGGAGATTCAGCCATGTCACCGACAGCTCAGAGCCGTAGGAAAGCCGGTTCAGATAACAAGCAGGTAACGTACGCTTCGATTGCCTCGACAAACACACCGGGAGGGACACACATAGGTCCATCTTCAGTACCGAGCACGCGCGGCGTAAAGCAGCTTTCACCGTCAACTCCAGTGGTGCCCTCTAAACAACCTGAATTGCCGGCAAAAAGTATAAAGCCAACACTCGCTAGACCAAACCACGCTGCGCTAACTCTCGTGTGCACCAACGTACCCGAATCCAAATCTGGCACAATAAAAGGCAAGTCGCAAGACGATCGCAACCAGTGGAGTTTCATCTGCGAGGCGATTGGCATTCGGGTTGAGCCTGCAATGCTGCAACGCGTAGCGCGTCACCCGACCTCAGTGCACTCTGGTGAACCTCGAATCCTTCAAGTAACACTAAACTCAGCAGACGAGACAGAGGCTGTCCTGCTATCAGCAGTTCGTCTTCGCAACTCACCGAGCGGAGTGCGCATATTAGCTGATCTACCTTGGAAAGATCGCGCAAAAGAAGCAGTGGAGCAACGCGGTATTGCCAATAGGGATAGCAAGAAAACGATATTTGTTCATGGTGTTCCTGAGCTTCTGCATTCTTCTGATCACGATGCACAAGCACATGACCGAGAGCAGTGGTGCTACTTCCACGAAACACTCTCTGTTGATAATGTTATTGCCAAATCCCTGACAAGAGTTCCGTCATCACCTAACTACAGGGGCTGCGGTCCAAGGCTAATGAAAGTAATACTACACTCCGAGGTAATGACGCAACTTCTGTTGGATAGCTGGTTAAAGTTTCGAGCTAGATTGCCAACAGAAATACGGCTAAAGGCAGCAGGCGAACGACCAAAAGTCGGAAGCAATTCAATGGAACTTGCAAACGTAAC